AAAGTGAAAAAAACAGCATAACTACTAAAATAGTGGCCCGATCATGCCGATTTTCGAACTTGATCTGCGTTTTAGTAAGATTAATTACTCCTGTGAGTTTCATGACAACAGGCCTATCGGTTTTCCTTGAAATGTGTTAACAGTGTTGCGTATATGCTAAAAAGTGAAAACACAGCATAAATACTACAATAATTGCCCAAACATGCTGATTTTCGAACTTGACCTGCGTTTTATGAATATTCATCAGCTCTGTAAATATAAAGCCAAAAAGTAAAACTGTCTTCCACTTATTGTGTTAACGATGAAAGTGCACGGCGACGGCGACGGCGACATCGACGGCGACAGGGACGGCGACAGGGACGGCGACGGCGACGACAGACGCAGGTGATGGCAATATGTACAGACACATCTGTGTCTGTACATAAAAAGAAGCACATGACTTAAATGCAGCCTGAGTTGGAAAAGCAGTCTAATTGGCTTCTTTTTCTGGAAGTTATACATTTTAGTGAAATATTCATTATCTTTTTGGCATATTCATTGTGGGACTCGGAGCTCCCATGGACATGAAGCCATATGGTAATCAAATTTTCTACATGTCCATGCTATTTATAGGCAATAATCAAAAATTGATGATAATTATTCTATAATTTATTACGTAATGTTACATCAAAATTGACAATAATCTTTTTGCACTGCTACTGCAAACATTATGAAAAGAAAACTGTGTTTATTATTATATTTAACTTATCAGTATGATTTTTAGGATTGGCATGTAGTTCAAAATAGAAAGCCAGGTCAATTTTGTTATCATTTATTATTGAATTTTATGCAATTTTGTGTGAAATCTTCATTTTTCTCATTCTGGCACTTTCTTATTGTAAACTTGAACTCTGATGGGCCTGAAGCCTTATGCTTTTACTTTCATCAGTGTTACCTGTTGTGCATAATTAAAATTTGATGTTGACTGTGCAGTTAAACATAATGTATTTTTGCATCAGAATTGGCAGTCTCCTGTTTTTGTGCATTATTGTTTTCTGCTTTTCTCAAGGTGCGCCTTATGGGCCTGAAGACCTTTGATAGACAAATTTGTGTGGTCAGTCTGTTAATTTTCTTTTGGGTATTCACTAGGCTAAGTTCAGTGTTATAAACTCATTTGCCTAATTATGTGGCCATTAAATGAAAGTTCATAAGGCACACTTGTTGATATTTCCCTGTAAACTCCCAAAGGTTAAGCTCTCTGCTAGATAACATAGTGTCCATAATAAGGAAGCAGGGAATAACAGCTTCATTGGGATTATATTTCTGTTGTTTTCTTTTTAATTTTTTCTCCAACACTGGCATTTTTAAGATGTGACTTTTAACTCCCATCCACCTGGGGCTCTGCACATTTTCAGTATTTCCACATAAGCAGTTGTATTGGTATTTATGTCTTTAAACACACTGTAATATTATTTTATCCACTGTCATCATTTTTCATATATTGGGACTTTCATCATGTGAATTTGAACTCTTATGGTCCTGAAACTGTAATCTTATTGAAGGGGTGGATTGAGACCATCTTCTGGGTCTCCTGGAAGACAGTCAGACTTTAAAGTTTATATTAACGGGTTTCTGTTGGAAGACCATCAAAGTGGAGGATGGATCAACATAGATACTTTGGAATACTGTCAGAAAATATCTCTGGGTCCACTCCTGTTATTGACCATTTTACCTGTTGTGCATGATTAAAAATCAGTGTTGACTGACTGTGCTATTATAAGCATTATTTATTATTGCATCAAAATTGACAAAATGACCTATTTTGCATCTTTTTTTCCTGTTTTTTGTCTGTACATTTGACAGCTTTGCTGCCTTGTTTATGATTTATATACCATTGTTTGTACAAAGTCTATCTCCCTAGATGCATGATGTATGTTTAAAATATCACCAGTTTTTGACTGACTTATTTTTTCTTTTTTAGACTGACCTTTAGTGATACTACGGGGTTGCCAGTTAGTTCGGAAAATAAAATTTCCAGACTCTTCACAGACCAAATTTTTTTATTCACTGCCTAATACCACATAATTTTCCTGGCTCCACCTCACCAACAACCATACAATCCATCCATAATTGTTTTTTTTTTGTGTGTGTTTGTTTGTTTGTTTGTTTGTTTTTATTTTCTTAATCAAACCAACTTTTATTATGTAATGCATGTACCATTACCTCCAGCTGTTCTCATACACATGTCCCGAGTCCAAGCTTGTGACCTAATTTAATGGTACATGTTTTAAATTGTGATGTTGGCATATAGACCTTAGAGTGGAGACTTGGCATATTGAGATTCAAGTCCTGCTCTCAAAACAATTGACTGGCCTTGGTATTATGATTATAGGTCTGCATATCTGGTTTTTCATGAATTTATGGCAACATTGTGAAATTTGTTTTCTCATCTGGTGTTTTCATTGTGTGGATATAAACACTCATGGACCTGAAGCTTTATGCTAGTTACATATTCCAAATCTCCATGTTATAATTACCTACTGAGCATAATTTAACTTTGGTTTTGCTGTTATTGCTTCAAAAAACCTATTGTTTCCTCCTTTTTGTTTGCACATTTGACAGCAACCTTTTCATTTCTCTTCTTTAAGAAAAGGCAAGGAAGTCTTTCTGGCCCTTGCAGCAATGCAGAGGAGGATAGTTACAGCAATATCCCTGTGTTTGGAAAAATCCTGCTCAGTATGGCGTATGACTCCAGAAAAGGTTGGCTGATTATACATATTTACCGATGCCAAGACCTTGCTCCAGCTGATGTGAAGAAGAATAGATCTGATCCGTGAGTTTTTTTTTTTTTTTTTTTTTTTTTTCTGTGTTTTTTGCAAGATACGGTATAATTTGAGATCTTAATACCATGTGAAAGCAAAACATGCCATTTGTAGCTTATCTCCAACAAAAACAAAATTCATGGTGTTATCCAAATGTGTCAAACTTAACTCATTCACCTAATTTTTACACTGTTTAATTTATGATCGTAATATTTTGAAATATCTCTGGGTTGCAGCTATGTCAAGACCTACCTCTTGCCAATTAAATCAAGAGGTGGGAAGAGAAAAACAAAGATAAAGAAGAATACATTGAATCCAACATTTGATGAACCGCTGCATGTAAGTTTCAGCATAAACTCTAAAGAAAATAAAGAAAATACTGTTTCATGAGTTGGTACCGAGCTAAGCATTCATGGTGAGCAATTCAGTGCATCAATAAATTGTTTTTTAATTAATGTACATGTTGTGATTTATCTGGTGACAGCTGCCCACTATCCTGTTTCAGTACACCATCACTAAGAATGAGCTGGAAAGAAGAACCCTGTGGGTGTCAGTCTGGCACAGTGTCAAATTTGGCCACAATGTGCTCCTGGGTGATGTTGTTTTGCCTCTTAATAAACAGAACTTCAATGACACCTCACCACAGTGGTTCCAGCTATCAGGAGTAAGTTGGAGAAGTTACAGTAGTATTCAAAGCAATGTTAAATATCAATTTTAAAAGCAGGTTGAAGCATATACAGCTACTTTTTAATGATGTTAATTATAATTTACAGACACATTGTGTTAATTTAGTTTGTGAATCCCAAGTTTTTCTGCAATACAGGACCATATGGCTGCTGGGGATCGAGACCAAGACGTTACTTATGTTACTGACCCTCACAGCATCAAAACAAAGAGAGGGCAAGTTCTAAACCAGGCTGATGTGGGCAACCAGTGGCAAAGGTCAACATTATTGGAGACATCATTACAACCCAACTTTGACAACCAGCAGGATGACTTCCAATCCCAGACAACAAGAAAGACTGTTGTATCAGACCAATACCAACAAAACCAACCATCATCACAACCTACCTTTGGCAACCAATGGTTGCAACAAGGCAATTTCCAATCTCAGACACTGCCTGGTGAGTCAACAGGACCAAATATATCCTATCATCAACAAGACAATTTCCAATCTCAGACACTACCTGGTGAGTCAACAGGACCAACTATACCCTGTCATCAACAAGGACAATCCCAGCATAGCAGACTACCTCAGGAGCCAGTCACTGACCACCACCTGGAGGAACAAGGTGGTGACCACATTCAAACAAGGAGGAAATCAGGCCATTACTTCCCATCTTTACCCCCACAACAGGACCCTGTGGCTGCTGAGGATCAAGACCAGCTTGTTACTGACCCTAAGACTATAAGAACAAAGGGAAGCCAAGTTCTTAACCAGGCCCATGGGGATAATCAGTTAGAAAGATTACCTACGGCAGTGACACATGGGATTGCTGGGGTTCTAAGACAGCTCCCTGCTAACACAGGCAACACAAATGTTACCCTCAATTTGCAACTGGTTAACCAATATTATAACTCAGAAAAGGCAACAATGACACACATGAAAGAGAACGATGTGACAACATCTTTTCATAAACATATTCCTCCACATGTGAGAAAACGACTGAATGAGACACTTTGTCAAAATGATGTATGGAACCAAGTAAAGAAGATGTATGGCATTTCAGATGAAACCCCATGTCCTCCTGATGTTGTGACTTCTTTGTTGTCTCAAGTCCAGGGTTCTATTGCATCTTTCATCAGTGTGTTGTTAAAGTTGAAAGAATGCCGCAGAGAAAGACAGCAAGACATTCCACAAGACTTGATTGATGAAGTCAAGGTAATTGATACTATGGTCTAAAATATAGTCAAATAAAGTAACCAGTCTTTAAAATTTTAAAATGACAATGTGTGTTTTGACTCCAAAACCATTTTCCACATTTCAAACATATTCTTCCTTTGTACTATCTTAATTTTAATTCAACAAAGTTTTTCATTTCTTCATATTCCAAGTGAAAGAATAAGAACTAGAACTAAATGTATGAGACAATGGGCTGGCTGTTTGGGATTATTAAGTGAATTGTTAGTTGTTTACACAACATCATGGTTTGAATGAACAGAAGTTGTAAATAAATGTGGCTTACTATATTTCTCTTCTAGAAAGGACTTCTGAGTGAAATGGAGTACAACAGACTAAGAGAGAAAGTGGTTGACTTTGCTGAGGAACTTTCGATTCATATAGAAAGAACTTTAGATTACCTGTATCAGTTTAGTGTAATACCAGATGAGGAGACAACAAAGCTTAAAAATGATGCAAAGAGAAATCCACAAGAAGCTTGTAGAAATTTGTTTAAAGCACTCCTTGCGACCAGTCCTAAAAAAGAGCCAATTAAACATCTGAGAGCTGCATTCAGGGATTGTGGTCTTGGGCATCTGACAGATGAACTAGAAGTCAGCTACCAGGACGTAGAGGATGAAATACAGAAACATGGAAGTGGCCGACCTTCTTGTGAAGAGCCGTTGGCGATAGGAATGTCAGCTCCCCCCACACCTGCAACAGGTGAAAACCCTATTGGAGAACATTAAAACTGTGTGTACAGTATTTGACAGTATGTGTCAAGATTGTTTATGCTATTTGGGTCACCGTGGACTAAGAACGTATGGTGTATTGCCACATATATTGACATCAGACAAATAAAGTGACTCTCTGTATTTACTGATTTTGAACAAGCTTGTTGTTAAACTACAGTGAGGAAGACGTTCATATTTAAAGTTCAGCATCAACTGTGACCCTAACTTTTAACAGGAAGATGACAGAAATTTTAAGCAAAACCCATTGGCCCATGAAACCATCAATACTGTTAGGGGACTTAAATGTTGATTTGTCTTACAGTAGATCTAGAGCTCCTACAACCTCTGTTTATGTTCCTCTTTTATAATACCACCAACAAGTTATTGTCTCACCAACATTGAGGTGTATCAAAGACACACTAATGTTTTTGACCATTTTTTTTTTTTATGTACAAGGCGTAAAACCAGTAGAAACGGGTACACTGTGCATCTATTACAGTGCCATGATCCTGTATATGCTATTATACCCATCTGTTTAAACTAGCTTATAAATTACTCCTTTAGTTCATTCCCACAAACAAAAATGGATATTTGTAAAAAGCATTGTATATATGTTAAAAAGCATCCATATGTATTTTATGTAAATATATTATGATAATGTCAACACCATGTAATTTATGTAAATATATCCCCTTAAAGATGGCAACACTACAAATACGTGGGAAGGTGTTTTAATATGTAAAAGAATAGTTTGTAAAGTATAGTTTGATAATTTTACTAGTGTATACATATAAGTCCATTTATTATTTTCATATTATTCAAGGTGGATGTTTTTATATGAAGTACTGTATTAAATTATATTTACAAGAACACTGTATATATGTAGAAAGTTTTCATTAGCACTTTATGTTAATATATATTCCCTGAAAGAAGACAGCACCACAGATATTTATCATGCCTACCCAACTACCAGACTCGGCACATAAGGTTCCTGAATTAACCGGTATATCGGACCACACTACCCATTTTCAAAGGTATGTGTCAGATCGCATTTCTGAGTATCAGTCAGAACACCGACAGGGTGAGCCGGCGGTCATCCTACAAAATTTGTCCTGGGGTATGATACTCCAAAATGCAATATGACACACACCTTGAAAACGGGTAGTGTGGTCTGATATACCGGTTAATTCAGGATCCTTATCATGTGCCGAGTCTGGTAGTTGGGTATGCCTGTTTATGTGTGCAGAAAGTTACAATCCTTACTTTTCACATGACGTCATCATTTTATGCGAACATTGGGTGTCCGCCATTTTCCTACACCAGGCGGGAGATACTATCGTGCTGAGTTTTTTCACTTTTTATCACGTACACACAGCACAGTCATGCCGATATGTGGAGTGGTTGGATGTTCAAATAAACCGTCCTCACAGAAAGGTATCAGTTTTCATAAAGTACCAACAATCATTAGAGGTCAAGGCGAGGAGACGCAAAAGTTATCTGAAGAAAGACGGCGGTTATGGAAAGCAGCAATAAACAGGAAAGATATTACCTCGGAGGAAAAGTGGGATCGAACCCTTGTTTGTTCGAAACACTTTGTAGGCGGTATGTATATATGTTACTTGTTGGTATCATATAAATGTCAGAGAATAAGGTTTTTGTGAAGGACGGATCTTTGAGTCACAAATGGCAACTACACGTACCTGTTACTCGGTGGAGTCTTTGTCTGTCTTATATGCTCCCTGTATCCTGTGTATCTCAGACAATTTCGGACACAAAATTCTTTTTTGATGTACAATTTCAGCACATTTACATGTTTTTACAAATGCAATATAATTCTCATTCTCATGTTGGATTGTTTTTATCATTGCCATGTCTAAATTTTCTAGGTATCAAGGCCTACCTACATGACAGGACCAGTCCGTCCTGGCTTCCAACATTATGCCTAGGGCATTCAGCCTGCATTCCAGAATCAGCAGCCACCAGTAGATACAGGCGTGCCAGTCAGCGTGGGGAAAAGAGGAAACGTGCAGATGCAATAACTTCACTTTTGAACCTCAAAACGCCAAGGCTTGAATCAGACCTTCAAGTGAATGAACAAACTCAACTTCAAGACAGGAGTACAAGTGATGGCAATAGTTGTGAACAATCATCTCTTGACAGTGATTTAGACATAGAGCTAGAGATTCAAGACACAAACTATGAAGTACAGGAATCCAAAGATAGTACTACTGGTACAAGTAAAGAGGTACAAACTGAATTAACAGTTAATGATATTGAAAATATTGAAAATGACAATAAAGCTAGACTTGCAGATTCCAACTGCAAAGTGCCATTCACACGGCAAGATCTCTACAGTTTTGAAGGGTATGAAAAAGATCCAGACAAAGTTTCTTTTTATACTGGATTGCCTAATTTAGGGGGTTTGAAACGAGTGTTTAATTTCATAGAAGCACAAATGAGCAATGGCTCAAAAAACCTGACCAAAGAAAACCAATTCATGTTATGTCTTATAAAATTAAGAATGGATTATGCTTTTCAAGACATGTCAGTTCAGTTAAATGTGTCAGTTGCCACTATTCATAGAATATTTCATGCCACACTGAACATTCTTTACAAAAGACTGAGTTTCTTGGTCCACTGGCCAGAAAGGGAGCATGTCAGAGTATCAATGCCGATGACATTCAGAAAAGAATTTGGTGATAAGGTTGTTGTTATTCTTGATTGTTTCGAACTCAACATAGAAAAACCAAGTGGTTCTCTTAACAAGGTGTATACATACTCTAATTACAAGCATCGTCATACAGTTAAATATCTGATAGGGATAGCCCCACAAGGTACAATAACTTTTATTTCTGAAGGTTGGGGCGGTAGGACCTCAGATAAACACATCACAGAAGAGTCTGGACTTCTAGACAATCTGTTACCTGGTGATATTGTCATGGTAGATCGTGGTTTTTCCATTGAAGAATCTGTCAATTTTTACCAAGCGAAATTGGCAATACCTAGTTTTACACGAGGGAAGTCTCAATTACATCCAATGGAAGTAGAACAGACGAGAAAAATTGCAAATGTACGTATTCATGTAGAGCGGGTTATTGGACTACTTTGTAGGAAATTTAGGATTTTTGACAGTGTTGTACCCTTGGAGTTTCTGAAGTTGAAAAGTGGAGAAGAGGTACCTACAATTGACAAAATTGTTAAAGTATGTTGTTGTCTCACAAATTTATGTCCCTCTGTTGTTCCATTTGATTGAAGTGAAGGAATGTCTAAGTGTTTGGAAACAATTGAAGCATGTATGCATCTATAACAACAATTTTAGTGAAATAAAAATATGTATTGAAAACCATTTATTTTCTCATTTTTTT